AAGTTCGCTTGGTCCACATCGACCCACCAACCAAAGACGAGCTCGCGCCCTGACACGAATGGTCCTTGGACCCTCACTACTCTCTCACAGCATGCGCCTTTCTTGTCGTGATGCCGTTCCATCGTCCGCGTTCTCATCACTGGGCTTTGCTGTGCTTCGATCTTTTGACTCGCTCGTCTTTCTCGGCGAAATACTGGCCTTCCCCGTCGCAAAGGCACTCGCGCGCTCTTTTGGTATTTCACTTTCGCAGAGACTCCTCAACAATCAAACGATCAAGGTTGCGGCGTCTACGTCGTCTACGTCGTCGTCCTCGCCATCTTCTTTAAGGAACGCTTTCTGATATCTCAGGCTCGATGCTTCTTTCTGCGCATCATATGGGCTTGCGTTTTCCAGACCCCGCTGCTCCCACTCCCAGACTTCCTGCCCGCTCCTCCTGTAAGACAAGTCATGTCCCGAAAGAGCCTCATCCGCCATACGAACCGTCTTCAAGAAATGTTGCAACAATGTCAAGAGAGCACAGACGATTTCAGGTCCTATATGATAACTGAGGGGGAGAAGAGGAAATTTGTGGGTACATTAGTAAGGATGGTCGTGTCGAAAAGAAGCATGTCCAGGCGAAGACACCCGCTGTAACTATCCGTTCGTCATGTAGAGAACAAGTTCGAAGGAAACAAGATATGTATAGTGCGTTGAAGAGGCGTCGATCACTTCGGAGGTATTTCGCTGGACCGAGTTGGACCGAACGACTGTACATCGTACCCATTCCAATACAATCACATATAATGCGATGGGAAGAAACCCACAAGGCGTACAGAGGGCTTCTCATCACGTAGGACTATTTCAGACTGTCTTGAGCAGCTCAAACTTGTTGTCACACAGCGTCCAGCCGATCTCTATACATCGTACAGAGCTTACAGGCCGCTGTGACACACCCATACACCAGAATCCTATAGTGCTTGCAAATATATGTCGTAACCCGAATGTAGCATCGAAGAGAGGAGTGAAAGTGGACAGTAAGCAGGAGAGTGCACAACTTGGCGCAGCTTGAGACATTCTGTCTTCTGGAGACAGATTCACGCTTTGAGATTCTGGTGGATGCACACACTCGATATCATTGTGACTGGCTTTCCAGGTCCGCAGTAGCGTGGTTGTCGCTTTGTTACAATTGTTCACCCATTGCACACTTTGTGGAGTTCACCAGTCGCCTGGCACACGGCGCAGTCCCCCTGATCTTGCACGTGGTGGTTTTCCATCCACTTCGCGAAAGCTGACTCAGTCCGCCATGGCTGTCTCCTAAACCTTCTGCCGCCCATCCCACGATTGGATGCATCACACATCGTCACACCATATCTTCGTATCACTGCCCGCTAAGGAATTGCTAGTCGCGACCAGTAAAAGCCGGGCGAATCCTGTCGATAGAATTGAACCTTCAGCAATACACCATTCGAGAAACCTTGCGAGATGTCACAATCTCGGGGTTTCCAAGACTTGCCTGACGACATCATCTACATGATTTGCGACATCCTACAAGACCGTGTTGAGGATCTGCGCTCCCTCTGGCAGCTCGACCGAAGATGCTACCTGATCACATTGCCGCAGATACGTGAGAGAATATCGACCGAGGATCTATCGAAACTTACGAGACTCTTGCCATCCCAGAATCACCAGATGCATGCCAACCTTGTCCGCATACTGGAGGTCAAAAGAGGATCGGAGCAAACGTGCAGTCAATGGACACTGCCTGCTCTACAATATCTGCACATCAGGTCGGAAGCACAGCTTTGTATGGAGTCGTTCTTCCCACTTCTTTCCAGAAGTCTGCAGAAATTTCGATGCGACCGTGGCACATTTCCTATCCAGCTTCTCGAAAGTCTGTGCAGGCAGTGTCTGGACTTACAATCTTGCCATCTATGTGGTCGCATGACAAACTTGGCCTACGGTATCTCGCTAGGCAAAGTTTTGGAATGCCTTACGAATCTGCGCTTTATCGATCTGACGGGAACACGTGAAGCTCCAAACTGTACATTCTTTTGAGATATTCCAGACCATGTCTCGCACAATCTGAGAGAACTCTTTCTTCGTGATCGTCTGGAAGGAGATAGCGCAAAGTATTTCTCACACTTTCTGAATGAGGCATGTATGCTACATGCCCTCGACTTCAACAACTGCCTTAGCTTCTCGACGGACCATTTTATCGCGGAGTTTCTTCAGCTGTCTGCTCAACATGACCACACTAAGGAAGCTGGTTCTTGCAAACAAGTTAGAAGATAAGTTGGTACGCCGGTGACCCTGTTGCATGCTCTGTAGCAGTGGCTTGTTGAAAAGATATGATCTTACAAGAACGGAAGTGTTACGATCCTGCTGATGACAAGGTCATGCAGCCTGCTTCACTATTCGCCGCGCCTTGGCGGAACAGGGCACTCAGAGCATCATGTATACACTCATTATCTAACAAGTATATAGGTAGGGAGAAAACCACTGGGACGTCCTGCGTTCAACTCAGTTAGCTATTCCAACATTGTCTTCGGTCTACACTACTACTTACACCTGCTTCACTACGCTTGACACTCCTCTTCATGAGTCCAACCCCGAGTTTAATTATCCTCCCCAGAATAGTTGGCCATAACAAGAAGCTAGTAGGAAACCATGGTTGAAACATAAATAGAAACATCTAAAGCAAAACTCCTTCTGCCTAGATTACGTCACAGTAGAACTTCTCAGTTGTACAAACGAGCTCACGCTTGAACAGCGACTTGCCCTTAACGGCCTCCGCCCCGACAGCCTTTCTAGCCTCAGCGCCACGTCTAAAGAGCATCTTTGCCGAGCTGGAGTTGACGCAGTCCTGGAATGTCTGGCAGGTCTGGCCAGCGCAAGAGGTGAAGCAGATCTTTCCGGTGGCGCAGTCGGTGTCGGTGTTGCAGGACGGACCAGCGCTCTCACCAGGATCGATGCAGGCTGCGCTGCTGCCGCCCAAGCGCTGCAGACACTCGCAATTCGAGGAAGAGCTTGCGGCGCAGGCAACGTAGGGTGCGCAGGCAGTGCTAGGACCTGCGCACGTGGGAATGACGAGAGTGGATGACACCACCGTGGTGCTGGTGGTGGCGGGTGCAGAGAACGTAGTAGTGGAGACCACGACGGAAGTTGTCGTGGGCGAGGTGGCAATCAGGCTGCAGGCAGAAGAGACGACGGAGGCTGGGTACTTTGTGAGGATTGAAGGTGTGATGCTACTTGCCGCAGCGTCACGCTTGGTGATCACGTCGGTCACAGTAGTGTACGAGGTTGGTGTGACTGTTGCAGTAGTAGTGGTGGTGGTGAGAGCTGCCGAGTAGCCCAGCACCGAGGAACAGAAGGGCTGGAACGTCGAGGTCAAATGGGAGGGGTAGTACTCCATGTCGTAGGCTGCTTGGTAGATCGCGCCCTGCTTGTCGCCAGGCTTGTTGGCTAAGCCATGGCTTCCGGTGAGCGGATAGGCGTAAGAGTACTCGACCAGGTACTGATCAGAACCACGCATCTGACCAGTGTTGGTGGCGTAGCTCGAGTCCCAGACCTCGGTGTAGAGTGTGCAGTATTGGCCCTGAGGAATCTTGGTGTTGCCAGATTTCAGGTACAAGACAAAGGTGTTGAAGAAGTGGCAGACTTTTGGTGGGGTGCCGTCTGCTGCACGATTGGCCGCGTTGTACTCTGTCTGGGCGTTGCAGTAGTCAGCACAGAGGCTGGCGTTAAAGGTACCCTGGGTGAAGATAGTGGAACCTGCGAGGGTGTTATAGCCCTGGCCATCGTAAGGAGCATTGATGGCAGCATTGCCCAAGAAAGTGGGGGTGTCGAAGCCAGGAGGGGCCACGACAGTGTTGTTCGTGTATCCATTCGATCCTGCAATCAGGACCTGAAACGAGCTTCTAAACTGTCCGGTATTGACTGCATTTCCCTGATTGACGGGACCGCCCCAGAACACACATTTAACCATAGTCACTGGAGCAGGGTTGGTACATCCGGTGCCTGGGTCCAAACTGGGATCTCTCTCGAAGTACAGATTGAAAGACATGCAGCCGTCGATGGCGTCGCACTTCTTCGAGCAAGTCATCACGTCGTAGGACTGGAGAGTCGCGAATCCAAGGTAGCCATAGGCATTGTTTGAAGCAGCCAAATTGGTGAACTCTTTGGTATAGCCCGAGGGGGTAGGAGCAACCGAGGCAGCAGAGGCGAAGACAGAGTATGATGCCCAAGCTGAAGGATCGGTAGGGGCAGAGGTATAACTGCTAGCGCCAGTGGGTTGAGTTGCGCAAGCGGTCCTCTTAGCAATGTCTCTCTTTGCAACAGCAGTGCCGGACAGCACATCGCTAACCTGCACAGAGACCGAGGACACAGCCGAGGTGACCTGAGCTACTATGGAAGTAGGATTGTAGGAGACAGATTGGGCGGTTACGCCAACAGCTTCAGTATAAGTTGGGTCAGGTGCAGCGATGACCATGTCAAGATTGAGGTCCTGAGGAAATGCCACGGCAACAGCAATGTTGACCGCAACGGCTTGCAAAGCGATGCAGAAACGCATTTTGGTCCGTAGAAGAGTGTCGTTGAGCTTGATCCTGTCACGTCGGGATGCTATCTAAAAGCCTTTATACCTTGTCACTCTCTCTCAGCTCGACAGTATAATCGACTGCGTCGCAACACTCTCTCGGCGTGTCCGAAGAGTAATGCATGTTCCATGAACTTTCATAGCGCCACAAGCTGCCATTTTCCAGATCTCGTTCGTACTAAGATCCTTCAGCTGGTCTCGAAGATCCTAGATGGGCATGAGACCCTTCAGCTGACCATCGCAGGTGTGAGTCTGGCCTAGGTTATGCAAGCAGGGCTGCTCGGACAAGCATCTCGTTCTCTGCGACAGCGAGCTGAAGTACGGCATGCAGGCGGGACGCGTGCGCGCGGCATGTCCACCTTAATAGTCTGCTTGGACAACCACGCGCTAGAAGAATCCGGGCTGAGTGCTAGATTGAGCTCTTGACTCATCCATTCTTTTCATAGTCCCTCAACAATTTATCTGAAGACTTGAGGGTGATCGGTTCAGTGGTTGTTGATCGGGTAGGGGGTGAGGGTAGGACTCTGGATTTTGGTGCGGACGGCTTCGGAGGTGGCTTCGGACGCTTGGGTGCTTGTTTCTCAACCACCTCTGTATTATGTGAACCTCTCGTTTTTCCTAACGTGTTCGCAGCATTGAAAAGTGGTTTCCTAGAAGCAGATGCCGTCTTTGAAGGTGGTTGTGGTCGTGAGTGGTTGGTTTCCGTTTTGTCGTTGCCCGCACCAGAGTCAAAGATTCGGCTGCTGGTTGATCTCCAAGGCGTTTTGGAGCCACGCCACGCGTGGTTCGACGTGGTATCCGAGGAGAGGGTTCTTTGGCATGCTCTTTCCAGTGTACGCGCTTACTACTGCGCGTAGACCTTGGTGTGGTATGCGCAGAGGGGGGGACTAATGAGAGCTCGGATTCGGCGTTGGGTGCTGAGGAAGTTTGGGCAGCTGTATTGGCCGCCACAGAGGTGTCTGATTGGTCTAGTACGTTCAGAAGGGTATGTGCAGCAGCTGAAGTAGCCATATTGATGATTACAATAAGGTAATTACATGTGGTTGTGGTGTAGTAGTGGATAATAGCTAAGTAAACACCCCTCAAAGCGCTATGGCGCGTACCACTCCGCACTGACCGATCAACGAAATACGCAACCGAGAATAGCCCAACGCAGGCAGGCACAATTGCGGCCCCGCAACAAGCTGCACCAGATCCGACTCGCGCAACACCTGCGATTGATGGCTGAACGGAGAAGTGGATTGCCCAAGGCGGATAACGTTTGTCATTTGCAGCTTGATACTCGCGTGCCGTTCTTGTTCAATTTTGTATCTCACCTCGATAGACGCCCACTCAAATGATGCAAAGTGTAATATTCCAGGCACAAGTTGGAATAAACTTGGTTACAAGCGCCCGCACTCCTTTGATGAGAATCGTTTGTGCCTGTACACCAAAAAAACACCGGGTCGGAAGAAAAGCTTTAGCATTCTCGCGTCATCTTCGTCCTCGACACTATTTGGCTTGGCCGATCCTCGCATGGTGCAAAGATGTCACCCTTCGGGAGCCGTCGTCTTTCTCTCCGTCTCGTCTAGTTCAGTTACCTCTCCGTCAAATGTTAGCCTTAGCCAGCCACCAAGCACAGTTGACTGTCTCCTTCTGAGTTTCCATTATTGCAGGATCGTAGTATGCCGCACAGAAGCAGGCTCGACAACAGACTTTGCAACTGTTCCACCATCCAAGAGTAACACACAAACCTTTTTCACTGGGTATAACTCCTATCAGGATTGCGAGACTACCTCAGGTGGCAGGCAGCACCTTTGACCTACTAACGGACAGTCGAGAGGAGTCTATACACATCGCGAAGTGAAGACGAGAACGTGTCGGATTAGAACAAAAGAGTTAGCAATGCGCTCAATAGCTTGCGGACACCAATCATCCCTGCTGCGATATTTGACGTGTCGAAACAAAGCCACACTCTGCATACGTCCCCGACTATTCAAGTTCGACCTTCTTTCCTACTTGCCAACCACGGACTTTAGTCATCTCTGTCAGTGTTTTTGGTGGACCCACTGAACTTCACCTTGGGTTTATATTGGGATAAGAATCACGTGCAGTGATATAGCAACAGTTGGAGACACGTGTCATGCAACACTTTGCATAGTTGCGCCCACTGGTGTTTTCTTCCATGAAACAGACTGTCTTCCAATACTAGAACGACCCAGGGACCTAAGAGGTTCCAGTCTCAAATCAGCTTCTAAGTAATCTCGCGGCTATGCTCGTAGATAGCAGAATCTTTTGGTCACAAGCTCCCTTGCGCAAAGTCCTCTCGAAACGGATGGAACTGACAGAGAGTCTGGAGCAGGTTCACGTTTGTTCGACATACTTTGTGTGCTCATAAGGAGTGGTTGTTCGAAGAAAGTAGCACCTCTTATCATCAGCTGAGCCCGGCCGTTTCTCTAGAAAGTGGCGTTGACGTCCCATATCACTCAATGCTATGCTTGTTGCTTGGCTACACGACAGTCAATGATTGTGCGCAGACGCACAAGCTGCTCAGTGCCCTGAACGATCTTTGGCGGCAGGCTTAGTTGTGTTCTCCACGACAAGGTCAGGTCGAGCTACGCGCTTGTCGGAATCCATCTTAATGGGAAGAATTTTCCACGCACGCTTCACAAAAGATCTTCGAGTAAGATCCGAGGAGTACAGCTCTGAAAGAGCATTTGATCCGTTGACTGATGTTAAGACCTCCACTGATTTCGGTCAGGATCAATGGGGGACAGCGATTGCTGGAGATATACTCACCGGTCCGGGTCATTGGAGTTTGGCTGTTGGATAGTGGAAGAATAGACGCATGAGTAAGAGCTTCCACCGCGCCCTCTTCAACTTGAGCTTCTGCAGAACTGCAGTTGCTTATCGCGAAGAAGACCGCAGCAATTTGGAAAAAGAGTCGCATCTCCGAGATAGTATGGTCTGACGGGGATGATGAGCCTCTGGTCAAAGCGATGTGATATAGCTGATCGAAGACTCCCCTCCAGATGCCAGTGCGATTTCGCAATGTCTTCCTTCGGGTACACGAGAAGTTTTATAGAGCGTGTGGATCTGGAATTCAGCCTGATGCACGATGAGTCGTAATATTCGCTTGGCTGGCTCGGGGAGTTGTAATATATCTGTAATAAAATCACTCACTAGGTAGGTCGTCGAAAGCCTGGAACACGGAGTAAGAATTTCTTTGCAACGGAAAATATGCTTGCAAACAGGTATGCATTTCCCAGAAATGATGTTCGTGCTTCCAAAATCAAGACAATTCGTGATAAATTTCGCAGATGGTTATCAAAGGACTGCCGGTACAACCGACACCAATACGATTTGCTGTGTTCAAAATTGAACAGACTCGAATACAGCATACGCATCTTGAACTGTGGGAATGTGCCGTGGACAAAGGGCGCATTCATCAGAACAACGTTCGAATACCTCTCCAACTTTCTAAGTAGACTCGCTCCTCCAACCATACATATCAACAGCCTTCTGTTTTCCATCGCAGGCTCTAGGAGACGTCCATACGCGGGAGCTTAGAAGCCAAATCGAATATACTTTCCACAGTCCTGAAACTATCGTCGCAACCCGGCGAGACATGTTTATGAACAAACAGACGCTGCTTGTATTTGAGTCTAGCAATGTTCAATCTCGACTGGGCCATGTTCAGTTGGTAGGACATTAATTTCGTCTCCGAATTGAAGCCTAGTGACTGAAGTCCGACGACTCTGGTTTCAAACTCCTTATTCATCAGTAGATGTTCTTCTTCACGAATCGACCTGTTGATCTGTTCATATTCGGTTGCTGATTCTTCATCGATCTTGGACATTGCGTTTGAAATGTAATGCCCGACTATCGAAAGATCATCGAACTTTGAGACGAAGAATCCATCGAGAGGCAAATGAGGACGCTGCAGGTTATGCAGGCTAAAATTCAGCATCTGGTGGGGTGGATAGTTGGAGACAACGACGAGATCGCGGTAGGCTTTCAAAGCGCGCTTTCTGGCGTCCTCAGCAGCCTCAAATAGCACGAGGAGTTGCTTGGCTGGCGACTTCTCGTCAGGCATCTCTGGTCTGAAGCGGGCGAAGTTGTTGGGGGAACGTCTATGAAGTGGATCGCAAAGGGCTCTCAGCGTGTTGTGATTCGTACCTGCGCGGGCTCCTAATTGAATGAGGTCTTCTTGATGTTTCCGAGTCCATCTCAGGAAGAGATCTTTCGCGATGCCATGAGCTGGAAGAGCCTCATAGTCGAAGAACTTATCTTGAATGTAGCCAATGGTAGCACCGATGATACCGAGATTCTCTGCCAGTACATGAGTCGAATCCTGGTGGGCTGTCTCACTAGAGGTTCCATCGTCGGTATCTGAACCATAGTCAGATGCGCAACTTGAAGTTGGTTCTTCCTCGATACGCATCATGGTGTTGAATATCTGAGAGTGATGTTCGACACCCAGCTTCAGTGCTCGCAAGGCTAGATATTTGTGGCTTCAGAAAAGACTAGAATTACTTGTAAGTCTCGTGATCATTATGTGAGTATGCAAGCTGGTGTGCCGTGATGGGTGGACGTGGTATGACAAACACAGCAGCTCGATGATGGTGCGGCTATCAGCCGCACAGTA